TATGTCTGAGACAGTGAGAGAGTGAAGCACTGCACTTGTTATGTCTGAGACAGTGAGAGAGTGAAGCACTGTACTGTTATGTCTGAGACAGTGAGAGAGTGAAGCACTGCACTGTTATGTCTGAGACAGTGAGAGAGTGAAGCACTGCACTGACTGTTATGTCTGAGACAGTGAGAGAGTGCAACACTGCACTGTTATGTCTGAGACAGTGAGAGAGTGCAACACTGCACTGTTATGTCTGAGACAGTGAGAGAGTGCAACACTGCACTGTTATGTCTGAGAGTGTGGAGCACCACACTGTTATGTCTGAGACAGTGAGAAAGTGCTGCACTGCACTTTTATGTCTGAGACAGTGAGAAAGTGCTGCACTGCATTGTTATGTCTGAGACAGTGAGAAAGTGCAGCAGTACATTGTTATGTCTCTGACAGTGAGAAAGTGCAGCACTGCACTGTTATGTCTGAGACAGTGAGTGCAGCACTGCACTGTTATGTCTGAGACAGTGAGTGCAGCACTGCACTGTTATGTCTGAGACAGTGAGAAAGGGCACACTGCAACTGTTATGTCTGAAACAGTGAGAAAGTGCAGCACTGCACTGTTATGTCTGAAACAGTGAGAAAGTTCAGCACTGCACTGTTATGTCTCAGACAGTGAGAAAGTGCAGCACTGCACTGTTATGTCTGAAACAGTGAGAAAGTGCAGCACTGCACTGTTATGTCTGAAACAGTGAGAAAGTGCAGCACTGCACTGTTATGTCTGAAACAGTGAGAAAGTTCAGCACTGCACTGTTATGTCTCAGACAGTGAGAAAGTGCAGCACTGCACTGTTATGTCTGAGACAGTGAGAAAGTGCAGCACTGCACTGTTATGTCTGAGACAGTGAGAAAAGTCAGCACTGCACTGTTATGTCTGAGACAGTGAGAAAGTTCAGCACTGCACTGTTATGTCTGAGACAGTGAGAAAGTTCAGCACTGCACTGTTATGTATCAGACAGTGAGAAAGTGCAGCACTGCACTGTTATGTCTGAGACAGTGAGAAAGTGCAGCACTGCACTGTTATGTCTGAGACAGTGAGAAAGTTCAGCACTGCACTGTTATGTCTGAGACAGTGAGAAAGTTCAGCACTGCACTGTTATGCCTGAGACAGTGAGAAAGTGCAGCACTGCACTGTTATGTCTGAGACAGTGAGAAAGTTCAGCACTGCACAGTTATGTCTGAGACAGTGAGAAAGTTCAGCACTGCACTGTTATGTCTGAGACAGTGAGAAAGTTCAGCACTGCACTGTTATGTCTGAGACAGTGAGAAAGTGCAGCACTGCACTGTTATGTCTGAGACAGTGAGAAAGTTCAGCACTGCACTGTTATGTCTCAGACAGTGAGAAAGTTCAGCACTGCACTGTTATGTCTCAGACAGTGAGAAAGTTCAGCACTGCACTGTTATGTCTCAGACAGTGAGAAAGTTCAGCACTGCACTGTTATGTCTGAGACAGTGAGAAAGTGCAGCACTGCACTGTTATGTCTCAGACAGTGAGAAAGTGCAGCACTGCACTGTTATGTCTCAGACAGTGAGAAAGTTCAGCACTGCACTGTTATATCTCAGACAGTGAGAAAGTTCAGCACTGCACTGTTATGTCTGAGACAGTGAGAAAGTTCAGCACTGCACTGTTATGTCTCAGACAGTGAGAAAGTTCAGCACTGCACTGTTATGTCTGAGACAGTGAGAAAGTGCAGCACTGCACTGTTATGTCTGAGACAGTGAGAAAGTTCAGCACTGCACTGTTATGTCTCAGACAGTGAGAATGTTCAGCACTGCACTGTTATGTCTCAGACAGTGAGAAAGTTCAGCACTGCACTGTTATGTCTCAGACAGTGAGAAAGTGCAGCACTACACTGTTATGTCTCAGACAGTGAGAAAGTTCAGCACTGCACTGTTATGTCTCAGACAGTGAGAAAGTTCAGCACTGCACTGTTATGTCTCAGACAGTGAGAAAGTTCAGCACTGCACTGTTATGTCTGAGACAGTGAGAAAGTTCAGCACTGCACTGTTATGTCTGAGACAGTGAGAAAGTTCAGCACTGCACTGTTATGTGTCAGACAGTGAGAAAGTTCAGCACTGCATTATCTGTTATCTCTGTGGTAAAGAAAATATTTATCATTATTCATCGTGGAAACTGTATATAAAGGTTCTCTTTTAATTATTATTTTATTTTTTGGAAGTCTATTTACATGTCTATAATTAATCCTGGAATGATGTTACTCATTATATTTTTTTAAAAATAAACGTGATTCTATACAACATTGCGAACACATGTTATATGAGCTTACTACTCTATATATATATTATATAATATATATATATATATTATATATATATATATATATAAATATATATATATAATATATATATATATATATATATATATATATATATATATATATATATATATATAATATATATATATATATATATATTCTACACTCTGAATATAACTTAGTTTACACTATACACAAAATATATAATAACATTTATATTAAGAGATTATGTTTGTGGGAGATGACTGGTTCCAGCAGATATCTTCATCACTCTACACTTCACACAGACTGGTTCCAGCAGATATCTTCATCACTCTACACTTCACACAGACTGGTTCCAGCAGATATCTTCATCACTCTACACTTCACACAGACTGGTTCCAGCAGATATCTTCATCACTCTACACTTCACACAGACTGGTTCCAGCAGGTATCTTCATCACTCTACACTTCCACACAGACTGGTTCCAGCAGATATCTTCATCACCTACACTTCACCAGACTGGTTCCAGCAGGTATCTTCATCACTCTACACTTCACACAGACGGTTCCAGCAGATATCTCATCACTCTACACTTCACACAGACTGGTTCCAGCAGGTATCTTCATCACTCTACACTTCACACAGACTGTTCCAGCAGATATCTCATCACTCTACACTTCACACAGACTGTTTCCAGCAGGTATCTTCATCACTCTACACTTCACACAGACTGGTTCCAGCAGATATCTTCATCACTCTACACTTCACACAGACTGGTTCCAGCAGGTATCTTCATCACTCTACACTTCACACAGACTGTTCCAGCAGGTATCTTCATCACTCTACACTTCACACAGACTGGTTCCAGCAGGTATCTCATCACTCTTACGCTTCACACAGACTGGTTCCAGCAGGTATCTTCATCACTCTACACTTCACACAGACTGGTTCCAGCAGATATCTTCATCACTCTACACTTCACACAGACTGGTTCCAGCAGGTATCTTCATCACTCTACACTTCACACAGACTGGTTCCAGCAGGTATCTTCATCACTCTACACTTCACACAGACTGGTTCCAGCAGGTATCTTCATCACTCTACACTTCACACAGACTGGTTCCAGCAGGTATCTTCATCACTCTAACACTTCACACAGACTGGTTCCAGCAGATATCTTCATCACTCTACACTTCACACAGACTGGTTCCAGCAGGTATCTTCATCACTCTACACTTCACACAGACTGTTCCAGCAGATATCTTCATCACTCTACACTTCACACAGACTGGTTCCAGCAGTATCTTCATCACTCTACACTTCACACAGACTGGTTCCAGCAGATATCTTCATCACTCTACACTTCACACAGACGGTTCCAGCAGGTATCTTCATCACTCTACACTTCACACAGACTGGTTCCAGCAGGTATCTTCATCACTCTACACTTCACACAGACTGGTTCCAGCAGGTATCTTCATCACTCTACACTTCACACAGACTGGTTCCAGCAGATATCTTCATCACTCTACACTTCACACAGACTGTTCCAGCAGGTATCTTCATCACTCTACACTTCACACAGACTGGTTCCAGCAGATATCTTCATCACTCTACACTTCACACAGACTGTTCCAGCAGGTATCTTCATCACTCTACACTTCACACAGACTGGTTCCAGCAGGTATCTTCATCACTCTACACTTCACACACGACGGTTCCAGCAGGTATCTTCATCACTCTACACTTCACACAGACTGGTTCCAGCAGTATCTTCATCACTCTACACTTTACACAGACTGGTTCCACAGATATCTTCATCACTCTACACTTCACACAGACTGGTTCCAGCAGGTATCTTCATCACTCTACACTTCACACAGACTGGTTCCAGCAGGTATCTTCACACTCTACACTTCACACAGACTGGTTCCAGCAGGTATCTTCATCACTCTACCACTTCACACAGACTGGTTCCAGCAGGTATCTTCATCACTCTACACTTCACACAGACTGGTTCCAGCAGGTATCTTCATCACTCTACACTTCACACAGACTGGTTCCAGCAGGTATCTTCATCACTCTACACTTCACACAGACTGTTCCAGCAGGTATCTTCATCACTCTACACTTCACACAGACTGGTTCCAGCAGGTATCTTCATCACTCTACACTTCACACAGACTGGTTCCAGCAGGTATCTTCATCACTCTAACACTTCACACAGACTGGTTCCAGCAGGTATCTTCATCACTCTACACTTCACACAGACTGGTTCCAGCAGGTATCTTCATCACTCTACACTTCACACAGACTGGTTCCAGCAGGTATCTTCATCACTCTACACTTCACACAGACTGGTTCCAGCAGATATCTTCATCACTCTACACTTCACACAGACTGGTTCCAGACAGGTATCTTCATCACTCTACACTTCACACAGACTGGTTCCAGCAGTATCTTCATCACTCTACACTTCACACAGACTGGTTCCAGCAGATATCTTCATCACTCTAACACTTCACACAGACTGGTTCCAGCAGGTATCTTCATCACTCTACACTTCACACAGACTGGTTCCAGCAGATATCTTCATCACTCTAACACTTCACACAGACTGGTTCCAGCAGGTATCTTCATCACTCTACACTTCACACAGACTGGTTCCAGCAGATATCTTCATCACTCTACACTTCACACAGACTGGTTCCAGCAGGTATCTTCATCACTCTACACTTCACACAGACTGGTTCCAGCAGGTATCTTCATCACTCTACACTTCACACAGACCAGCTGCTGAAGAACGCTATCAAACACGTCTCGTGATTTTCACTTCGTGTGTCTTTTGTCATGAACAAATAACTGGCCAATTAGTCATTATTAAACTTAATTACACCTGGCGGTCTTGCATGTGACGAGGAGTATGTGAGAGAGCTGAGACGTGGGAGTAAAGTGTTTGGATGATGTCAGCGATGGCTGGCTTAAGATTGGGCTTTGAAACATAGGTGTTGCGGAGACCGGTGATGTCAGCGACTTCAGATTTGGAAGTGATCGTTGAGAGGTTATAGCAGCGGGCGTTGATGATGTCAACAATGTCTGGCTTGAGGGCGGCACTACCCACCAGGAAGCCGTCCAAGTCCCTCAGTCTGGCCAGTTCTTGGCAGTTGGCTGAGGATACTGATCCTGCGTAGATGATGCGAGTGTTGTTGGCCACACTGTTGGAAACATTATCCTTCAGCCACTGGCGCAGCTCGGCCAGCACCTCCTGCACCTGGCCAGGGGTGGCCAACACACCAGTCCCACTGGCCCACAGAGCCTCGAAGGCCAGCACGACACGGGACCAGTCAGTAATGGCGGCAGCTAGAGCATTCATCTGGGTAAAGAGAGTCTCCCGAGTGTTACCAGTCTTACGGTCCTCAGCTGTCTCCACCACGCACGCTACCACCTGTACACAACACATTTAGTAAAGATCAAAACCCACAGCAAATTTTTATATACATGAAGACTGGATAGCCTGATTCTAAGGTTTATTTCCTTGCAAAAATAGTTTTGCTTATACCTTAAACCTTTCTTGTGCAAGTGACAGGAACTGATCAGTGCTAGAAATGAAAGTTATTTGCATTCTGTGATGAATTATATCAAGTTCAATAGATAGGTATCATATTTGGCATTTATCTATCACAATGCTAATTTGTAATATGATGAAAACGCTAAGTTCCAGTGGAAATAAGTCCAATGGAAATAAATCACTGTCTTGACTTTTTGTTTGTGTTATCCCAGGTTCTCTACACATATGCTGCAATGTATGATAATCTATGTAACTGTATTTGTGTATACCTGAATAAACTTACTTACTTACATAACATTCCTTTATGAACCTTGAAAATAGTTCACCAGAATTTCCGGATATAAGTTATTCTTGGGTAGTTTACCGGACTGCATGAAGACGCTGGACTACCTAAGGGTTTAGTGAACCACTGGACCATTTGAGAGCACACTGTGCCGCTGGACCATCTTAGTGAATATGCTTAGAGTGCTGGACCAGTTTGGTCCCGATTAGACCACACTGGTGTTCACTAAGCTGCCACACTGAGATAAACTGAACCTCCCTTCGGTTGAACCGGACCACCCGGGGTAAACTGTGTACAGCAGACCACTTTAATATTCACCGGACCTCAACACATCAGTAATTACCTTCATGCCAGCGTCCAGGGCGTGAGTGACCTTCTCGCGGATGAGGTCATCGGTCTCTGAGAAGATTGTGCGGCGCTCAGGATGACCCAAGATGACCCACTCACATCCACAGTCTCTGATCATCTCCGCTGATATCTCTCCGCTAAAGTTACCACGAGAAACCTGCAACATCAGACGCGTGTCAACATAAGAATGGAGGAACACTGCAGGAGGCCTACTGGCCTCCTGCAGTGTATCTATTAAAGTACGTGTGAGAGTATCTATTAAACTACGTATAAGAGATATCCATTAAGGAGGATGTGACAGTATTCCAAATGTTCTTGTAGTTTCTTGTTGAAGTTGTTCTGTCTAACAGTAGTTGTTGTAGTTGTTTTGTCTAACAGTAGTTGTTGTAGTTGTTCTGTCTAACAGTAGTTGTTGTAGTTGTTCTGTCTAACAGTAGTTGTTGTAGTTGTTCTGTCTAACAGTAGTTGTTGTAGTTGTTCTGTCTAACAGTAGTTGTTGTAGTTGTTCTGTCTAACAGCAGTTGTTGTAGTTGTTCTGTCTAACAGTAGTTGTTGTAGTTGTTCTGTCTAACAGTAGTTGTTGTAGTTGTTCTGTCTAACAGCAGTTGTTGTAGTTGTTCTGTCTAACAGTAGTTGTTGTAGTTGTTCTGTCTAACAGCAGTTTTGTAGTTGTTCTGTCTAACAGTAGTTGTTGTAGTTGTTCTGTCTAACAGTAGTTGTTTCTAACAACAGATACAGTTGTTCTTCTAACAACAGATACAGTTGTTCTTCTAACAACAGATACAGTTGTTCTTCTAGCAACAGATACAGGTGTTCTTCTAACAACAGATACAGGTTTTTCTTCTAACAACAGATACAGGTGTTCTTCTAACAACAGATACAGGTGTTCTTCTAACAACAGATACAGTTTTTCTTCTAACAACAGATACAGGTGTTCTTCTAACAACAGATACAAGTGTTCTTCTAACAACAGATACAGGTGTTCTTCTAACAACAGATACAGGTGTTCTTCTAACAACAGATACAGTTGTTCTTCTAACAACAGATACAGGTGTTCTTCTAACAACAGATACAGGTGTTCTTCTAACAACAGATACAGGTGTTCTTCTAACAACAGATACAGGTTTCTTCTAACAACAGATACAGGTGTTCTTCTAACAACAGATACAGGTGTTCTTCTAACAACAGATACAGTTGTTCTTCTAACAACAGATACAGGTGTTCTTCTAACAACAGATACAGGTGTTCTTCTAATAACAGATACAGTTGTTCTTCTAACAACAGATACAGGTGTTCTTCTAACAACAGATACAGTTGTTCTTCTAACAACAGATACAGGTGTTCTTCTAACAACAGATACAGTTGTTCTTCTAACAACAGATACAGGTGTTCTTCTAACAACAGATACAGGTGTTTCTTCTAACAACAGATACAGTTGTTCTTCTAACAACAGATACAGGTGTTCTTCTAACAACAGATACAGTTTTTCTTCTAACAACAGATACAGGTGTTCTTCTAACAACAGATACAGTTGTTCTTCTAACAACAGATACAGGTGTTCTTCTAACACTGATACAGGTGTTCTTCTATACAACAGATACAGGTGTTCTTCTAACAACAGATACAGGTGTTCTTCTAACAACAGATACAGTTTTTCTTCTAACAACAGATACAGGTGTTCTTCTAACAACAGATACAGGTGTTCTTCTAACAACAGATACAGGTGTTCTTCTAACAACAGATACAGGTGTTCTTCTAACAACAGATACAGTTGTTCTTCTAACAACAGATACAGGTGTTCTTCTAAAAAACAGATACAGGTGTTCTTCTAACAACAGATACAGGTGTTCTTCTAAAAAACAGATACAGGTGTTCTTCAAAACAACAGATACAGGTGTTCTTCTAACAACAGATACAGGTGTTCTTCTAACAACAGATACAGGTGTTCTTCTAACAACAGATACAGTTTTTCTTCTAACAACAGATACAGGTGTTCTTCTAACAACAGATACAGTTGTTCTTCTAACAACAGATACAGTTGTTCTTCTAACAACAGATACAGTTGTTCTTCTAACAACAGATACAGTTGTTCTTCTAACAACAGATACAGGTGTTCTTCTAACAACAGATACAGGTGTTCTTCTAACAACAGATACAGTTGTTCTTCTAACAACAGATACAGGTGTTCTTCTAACAACATAAATAGTTTGATAAGTGAGACAATTACGTAACATTTGAATTTATCAATTATGGTGAGGTTCCAGCAGCCAGTGTCTCCTCAGTCCAGTACAGAGAAGAATGGTGGTCGATGAGAAGTTTGAGGTAATCATTCCCTGAACCTGGAGTCGATGTGTTCAGTCTATTAAATATTGATGAAAGTACAGTATATAGGTGGAGGGAGTTATAAACTGCAGACAGGTGAGGTGAAGCAGTTGTATACTCTCTGCAGTATATAGGTCTCTTCTCTGCAGTATATAGGTCTCTTCTCTGCAGTATATAGGTCTCTTCTCTGCAGTATATAGGTCTCTTCTCTGCAGTATATAGGTCTCTTCTCTGCAGTATATAGGTCTCTTCTCTGCACATTTGTTGTATTTTTTATCAAGATTGATGGACTGGACACATCGACTCTTGGCTTGGTTGGTGACGCTCTAGCCTCACACACTGAGTGTTCGTGATTCGATTCCCGACACGGTTCGAAATGTCAGGCATGTTTCCAATCCCCTGCTGTCACTGTTCACCTAGCAGTAAGTAGGTACCTGGGTGTTAGTCGACTGGTATGGGTGGCATCCTGGGGGACAAGATTGAGGGGCCACAGTGGCAACAAGACAGTCATCCATGACGCACTGACTTTCTTGGGTTACCCAGGGTGGCTAACCCTCCGGATTAAAATTCCGGACAAATCTTATTTTACCTCAAACTCGTTATCTCCCACCACTATTCTTCTCTACACTGGACTGAGAAAGTCACTTGCGGGCGAAACGTTCCCGTAAAGATACCTAAATGTTGCATAAATGTCTCACTTAACAGTTGTTCTGCCATTTGTAGCATAATAATAAGGAATTAAAATAAGGATCCCAACGGAAATAAGTCACTCTGTCTGACACATGTTATCCCAGGTTCTCAACACATATGTTATCCCAGGTTCTCTACACACATGTTATCCCAGGTTCTCTACACATATGTTATCCCAGGTTCTCTACACATATGTTATCCCAGGTTCTCTACACATATGTTATCCCAGGTTCTCTACACACATGTTATCCCAGGTTCTCTACACATATGTTATCCCAGGTTCTCTACACATATGTTATCCCAGGTTCTCTACACATATGTTATCCCAGGTTCTCTACACATATGTTATCCCAGGTTCTCTACACATATGTTATCCCAGGTTCTCTACACACATGTTATCCCAGGTTCTCTACACATATGTTATCCCAGGTTCTCATACACATATGTTATCCAGGTTCTCTACACATATGTTATCCCAGGTTCTCTACACATATGTTATCCCAGGTTCTCTACACATATGTTATCCCAGGTTCTCTACACATATGTTATCCCAGGTTCTCTACACATATGTTATCCCAGGTTCTCTACACATATGTTATCCCAGGTTCTCTACACATATGTTATCCCAGGTTCTCTACACATATGTTATCCCAGGTTCTCTACACATATGCTATCCCAGGTTCTCTACACATATGTTATCCCAGGTTCTCTACACATATGTTATCCCAGGTTCTCTACACATATGCTATCCCAGGTTCTCTACACATATGCTATCCCAGGTTCTCTACACATATGCTGTTATGTATAATAATCTATGTAACTGTATTTCTGTATACCTGAATAAACTTACTAACAAGTAGTGATGGGGGTGACTGCTGGAGGAGCGTCTGTCTGGTAGCCAGAACTTCCTCTAGTTCACTGACTCACATGTCATACTGTGTTGGCTCACCTCATATATCATGACAAGTATCAGGATCACCTTACATATCATGACAAGTATCAGGCTCACCTCACATGACAAGTATCAGGATCACCTCACATGACAAGTATCAGGATCACCTCACATATCATGACAAGTATCTGGATCACCTTACATATCATGACAAGTATCAGGCTCACCTCACATGACAAGTATCAGGATCACCTCACATGACAAGTATCAGGATCACCTCACATGACAAGTATCAGGCTCACCTCACATGACAAGTATCAGGCTCACTCACATGACAAGTATCAGGCTCACCTCACATGACAAGTATCAGGATCACTCACATGACAAGTATCAGGCTCACCTCACATGACAAGTATCAGGATCACCTCACATGACAAGTATCAGGATCACCTCACATGACAAGTATCAGGATCACCTCACATGACAAGTATCAGGATCACCTCACATGACAAGTATCAGGCTCACCTCACATGACAAGTATCAGGATCACCTCACATGACAAGTATCAGGATCACCTCACATGACAAGTATCAGGATCACCTCACATGACAAGTATCAGGATCACCTCACATGACAAGTATCAGGATCACCCCACATGACAAGTATCAGGATCACCTCACATGACAAGTATCAGGCTCACCTCACATGACAAGTATCAGGATCACTTCACATGACAAGTATCAGGATCACCTCACATGACAAGTATCAGATCACCTCACATGACAAGTATCAGGATCACCCCACATGACAAGTATCAGGATCACCTCACATGACAAGTATCAGACTCACCTTATAACAGTTTTGTGCTGCCACGCCGAAGTTAGATGGCAGGTGGTGGCGGGCGTAGGAGAGGTAGCAGGAAGGGCAACCCACAACAACCTCTGAAATACATTACTTTAGCTCATAAAGAATGCAGTTTTATTGTTGTAGATTGAGAAGTATTTTACGTTATCTATCATTATTGTTCATCGTTATGTCTGGTAGTTGTATCTGCAAGATTGATACTTAAACTGTTTATGTATCAGTTGAACACTGCAAGATTGGTACGTAAACTGTTTGCTAAGGACTAAGCTACTGATGTAGGTGATACTAGACTCATCTGTTGGTGGAGTCGAGGGTGACCCCAGACTCACCTGTGTTGGGGTCGAGGGTGACCCCAGACTCACCTGTGTTGGGGTCGAGGGTGGTGCTCGTCATGGTGTTGATGATGGTGTCAACTGCAGCTGTGTCAACGTTCATCTTCCAGTTGCCAATCACGAAAAACCTTCTGATGGGCGACATGTTGTTTACTACTGGAAAGTTGCTGCTGAGAGCTTGACTACTCTTTCCAGGAGCCCAGCAAGAAGCTGAGAGTTTCCTCGAGCTTGATAAGTCAGTCTTCAAGCACAGATTGTGACAGGAAGAGTATCTTGCAGCAGAAAGTGGCGTCTGGGTGAGTGACGGAGCTTCAAGAACTTGAAACAAATTAGGCGCAAGAGAGGTTGTATAAGTTCGATTTTATCACAAATGTTTTCAATAACTTATGGGTGCTCTTTCTTGAGGCAAGAACAAGTAAGGTTGGTAGGGAGACGCTTCAAGAGACTGGTGTGGATCAGTGGAAGGCAGCATTCACTTATATACTTCCACCCAGACCCCTACAAGGTCGTGCCAGCCCCCATACTCATGGTCTTGACACTGCAACTTTCTCCTTCCCCTCCTCCCCCATCCCTCAACTCTCTCGTCACTCCTCCCCTGGCCCACTCTTCACATCCCTCTCCCCCACTCTCGCTTCCCCCACTCCCCTCCTATCTGTTTTGCCTCCCGGTGCAGGTAAAAGTAGGTTCTAGGGAAAAAATTAGTCATGGGGGATTACCCTAAGAATAGAGTCTGGCAGACTGTAGGAAAATGTTATTACCTTCCCGAGGTTGTGGGAGACAGGTCATAGCTCTTGTTCCCGCATCTTAACTTTTAAATGACATCGGTTAGATTTGTTATACTTACTATTGAATTCTGTGTGACGTTCGTTTTCTTGCCTCCGTTTATTGACCTTCTTCATCCTTGTTATGTTGTTCCTTGTCTCACCTGAGACTGCTCTTACTTACAACATCCACGTGTTCATGTAGTCAGACAGAGTCCATCACTGTTTACCTCATTTATCCCTGAAAGTACAGTACTTTGAATATCATTATAATTTCCGTCTTCGCCACATGTCTATGGTGCATCCAAGATAAGCCGACTCTTGGATGACACTACCGCCCGGCTCCGGCTGTCACTACCGCCCGGCTGCGGTTGTCACTACCGCCCGGCTCCGGCTGGGTTACAAGTATCTTTGGCAGGTTAAAATCACCACCACCAGATGTAGACCAAACGAAATGTAAACTTTGCCAGATGGATTATTGTCACACCCTGCGTCATTATGTACTGGAGTGCGTCACACCCTGCGTCATTATGTACTGGAGTGCGCCACACCCTGCGTCATTATGTACTGGAGTGCGCCACACCCTGCGTCATTATGTACTGGTGTGCGTCACACCCTGCGTCATTATGTACTGGAGTGCGCCACACCCTGCGTCATTATGTACTGGAGTGCGCCACACCCTGCGTCATTATGTCCTGGAGTGCGCCACACCCTGCGTCATAATGTACTGGAGTGCGTCACACCCTGCGTCATTATGTACTGGAGTGCGCAACACCCTGCGTCATTATGTACTGGAGTGCGCCACACCCTGCGTCATTATGTACTGGAGTGCGCCACACCCTGCGTCATTATGTACTGGAGTGCGCCACACCCTGCGTCATTATGTACTGGAGTGCGCCACACCCTGCGTCATTATGTACAGGAGTGCGTCGCACCCTGCTTCATTAAGTGCCGGAGTGCGTCACACACTGCTTCATTCTGTACTGGAGTGCGTCACAGTTATTGAGGAGCCTAGAGTTAACACACAGTGTTACCATAACAGTTACTGGGGAACCTAGAGTTAACTCACATTGTTACCATAACAGTTATTGGGGAGCCTAGAGTTAACACACAGTGTTACCATAACAGTTACTGGGGAGCCTAGAGTTAACACACAGTGTTACCATAACAGTTACTGGGGAGCCTAGAGTCAACACACAGTGTTACCATAACAGTTACTGGGGAGTCTAGAGTTAACACACAGTGTTACCATAACAGTTACTGGGGAGCCTAGAGTTAACACACAGTGTTACCATAACAGTTACTGGGGAGCCTAGAGTCAACACACAGTGTTACCATGACAGTTACTGGGGAGTCTAGAGTTAACACACAGTGTTACCATAGCAGTTACTGGGGAGCCTAGAGTTAACACACAGTGTTACCATAACAGTTACTGGGGAGCCTAGAGTCAACACACAGTGTTACCATGACAATTACTGGGGAGTCTAGAGTTAACACACAGTGTTACCATAGCAGTTACTGGGAGCCTAGAGTTAACACACAGTGTTACCATAACAGTTACTGGGGAGCCTAGAGTCAACACACAGTGTTACCATGACAGTTACTGGGGAGTCTAGAGTTAACACACTGTGTTACCATAACAGTTACTGGGGAGCCTAGAGTTAACACACTGTGTTACCATGACAGTTACTGGGGAGCCTAGAGATAACACACAGTGTTACCATGACAGTTACTGGGGAGCCTAGAGTTAACACACAGTGTTACCATGACAGTTACTGGGGAGCCTAGAGATAACACACAGTGTTACCATTACAGTTACTGGGGAGCCTAGAGTTAACACACAGTGTTACCATGACAGTTACTGGGGAGCCTAGAGTTAACACACAGTGTTACCATGACAGTTACTGGGGAGCCTAGAGTTAACACACTGTGTTACCATAACAGTTACTGGGGAGCCTAGAGTTAACACACAGTGTTACCATAACAGTTACTGGGGAGTTTACCTGGAGTTTACCTGGAGAGAGTTTCGGGGGTCAACGCCCCCGCGGCCCGGTCTGTGACCAGGCCTCCTGGTGGATCAGCGCCTGATCAACCAGGCTGTTGCTGCTGGCTGCACGCAAACCAACGTACGAGCCACAGCCCGGCTGATCAGGAACTGTCTTTAGGTGCTTGTCCAGTGCCAGCTTGAAGACTGCCAGGGGTCTGTTGGTAATCCCCCTTATGTGTGCTGGGAGGCAGTTGAACAGTCTCGGGCCCCTGACACTTATTGTATGGTCTCTTAACGTGCTAGTGACACCCCTGCTTTTCATTGGGGGGATGGTGCATCGTCTGCCAAGTCTTTTGCTTTCGTAGTGAGTGATTTTCGTGTGCAAGTTTGGTACTAGTCCCTCTAGGATTTTCCAGGTGTATATAATCATGTATCTCTCCCTCCTGCGTTCCAGGGAATACAGGTTTAGAAACCTCAAGCGCTCCCAGTAATTGAGGTGTTTTATCTCCGTTATGCGCGCCGTGAAAGTTCTCTGTACATTTTCTAGGTCGGCAATTTCCACCTGCCTTGAAAGGTGCTGTTAGAGTGCAGCAATATTCCAGCCTAGATAGAACAAGTGACCTGAAGAGTGTCATCATGGGCTTGGCCTCCCTAGTTTTGAAGGTTCTCATTATCCATCCTGTCATTTTTCTAGCAGATGCGATTGATACAATGTTATGGTCCTTGAAGGTGAGATCCTCCGACATAATCACTCCTAGGTCTTTGACGTTGGTGTTTCGCTCTATTTTGTGGCCAGAATTTTGTTTTGTACTCTGATGAAGATTTAATTTCCTCATGTTTACCATATCTGAGTAATTGAAATTTCTCATCGTTGAACTTCATATTGTTTTCTGCAGCCCCACTGAAAGATTTGGTTGATGTCCGCCTGGAGCCTTGCAGTGTCTGCAATGGAAGACACTGTCATGCAGATTCGGGTGTCATCTGCAAAGGAAGACACGGTGGCTGTGGCTGACATCCTTGTCTATGTCGGATATGAGGATGAGGAACAAGATGGGAGCTAGTACTGTGCCTTGTGGGACAGAGCTTGTCACCGTAGCTGCCTCGGACTTTACTCTGTTGACGACTACTCTCTGTGTTCTGTTAGTGAGGAAATTATAGATCCATCGACCGACTTTTCCTGTTATTCCTTTAGCGCGCATTTTGTGCGCTATTACGCCATGGTCACACTTGTCGAAGGCTTTTGCAAAGTCTGTATATATTACATCTGCATTCTTTTTGTCTTCTAGTGCATTTAGGACCTTGTCGTAGTGATCCAGTAGTTGAGACAGACAGGAGCGACCTGTTCTAAACCCATGTTGCCCTGGGTTGTGTAACTGATGGGTTTCTAGATGGGTGGTGATCTTGCTTCTTAGGACCCTTTCAAAGATTTTTATGATATGGGATGTTAGTGCTATTGGTCTGTAGTTCTTTGCTGTTGCTTTACTGCCCCTTTGTGGAGTGGGGCTATGTCTGTTTTTTTTTAGTAACTGAGGGACGACCCCCGTGTCCATGCTCCCTCTCCATAGGATGGAAAAGGCTCGTGATAGGGGCTTCTTGCAGTTCTTGATGAACACAGAGTTCCATGAGTCTGGCCCTGGGCAGAGTGCATGGGCATGTCATTTATCGCCTGTTCGAAGTCATTTGGCGTCAGGATAACATCGGATTAGGCTTGTGTTTGTCAAATTTTGTGGCTCTCTCATAAAAAATTCATTTTGGTCTTCGACTCTCAGTCTGGTTAGCGGCTTGCTAAAAACTGAGTCATATTGGGACTTGAGTAGCTCACTCATTTCCTTGCTGTCATCTGTGTAGGACCCATCTTGTTTAAGTAGGGCCCAATACTGGACGTTGTTCTCGATTTTGATTTGGCATAGGAGAAAAAAATACTTTGGGTTTCTTTCGATTTCATTTATGGCTTTTAGTTCTTCCCGCGATTCCTGACTCCTAAAGGATTCTTTTAGCTTAAGTTCGATGCTTGCTATTTCTCTGACCAGTGTCTCCCTGCGCATTTCAGATATATTGACCTCTTTTAGCCGCTCTGTTATTCTTTTCCGTCGCCTGTAAAGGGAGCGCCTGTCTCTTTCTATTTACATCTACTCCTCCTTTTTCTTAGAGGAATAAGCCTTGTGCATACATCGAGTGCCACCGAGTTAATCTGTTCTAGGCATAAGTTTGGGTCTGTGTTGCTTAGTATATCTTCCCCGCTTATATCGGTTAGGACTTGGTTTACTTGGTCCCACTTTATGTTTTTGTTATTGAAGTTGAATTTGGTGAATGCTCCCTCATGACTAGTCTCATTTTGTCGGTCTGGGGCTCCATGCATACATGTCTGAACCTCAATTATGTTGTGATCTGAGTATATTGTTTTTGATATGGTGACATTTCTTATCAGATCATCATTGTTAGTGAAGATGAGGTCTAGTGTATTCTCCAGTCTTGTAGGCTCTATTATTTGCTGGTTTTAAATTGAATTTTTGCAGAGATTTAAAAGCTCGTGTGAGTGTGAGTTTTCATCAGAGCTGCCTCCTGGTGTTATTTCTGCAACAATATTATTTGCTATATTCCTCCATTTTAGGTGCCTTAAGTTGAAATCCCCCAGGAGCAAGATGTTGGGTGCAGGAGCTGGAAGATTTTCCAGACAGTGGTCAATTTTTAACAGCTGTTCCTGGAATTGCTGGGATGTTGCATCCGGAGGCTTGTAGACTACCACAATGACTAGGTTTTG